GTTTGCCATTATAAAACAAAGTGCCCTTCTGGGACAAATAAAAGTGTAATTTATTATTATTATTATTTATTACAAAAGGGTATCCTGATCGAAATAAAATTCTTAAATTTATTGAAATTTACAGATCCCATGACAGCCTTTGGAAAATAAAATCCAGAGACTATATTGAAATCGCTTGGACGAGAGAAGGACAGAACAAAAATATGGTTGATTTTGTAATAGGCTTTGAACCTCACGCAAACAAGGACTGGCGGTAACAAAAAAATAGTAACCTGAAGGAATTAAAAAACTCTGAGGGAAGCCAGTTGTCCGTGCTGGGTCTGATGAAGTATATCGGCCTAAACTGTGGTACTTTTCAGGCCTTCTCTCTCTCTCTCTCTCTCTCTCTCTCTCTCTCTCTCTCTCTCTCTCTCTCTCTCTCTCTCTCTCTCTCTCTCTCTCTCTCTCTCTCCTGTATAGATATATAAACTAGTCCTTAATTTTTGTTGACTAGTTTATATATATATATATATATATATATATATATATATAGATAGATAGATAGATATATATATAGATAGATAGATATATATATATATATATATATATATATATATATATATATATATATATATATATATATATATATATATATATATAGATAGATATATATATATATATATATATAGATATATATATATATATATATATATAGATAGATATAGATATATAAACTAGTCAACAAAAATTAAGGAACATTTGAGAAAAAGTGTATAACTTCGAAAGCAAACTTCAACACGTAATGAAATTTTGTATACATTTTAATCAACATGTGTATAGCAAGTAACAAAAAAGAAAATTAAGTTATTCCATTTTATCTTACTTGAAAAGTTAATTGAGTTTGGTAGGGGTTAAAATCACAAATCACAAAGCTGTCAAGTGGTTTCGAAGTTATTTTAACTTCTGACTACAACAAAAACAAAACAGTTCAGATGATTTCAATAATGAGTATGCCCACCACGATTGTCCTAGCAGTCAGTGCTCCTCATCGAGTTCATGAAGTTGGTGAATACTCTCTGAGGCATCCACTGCCACTCTGCCTGCAGCACCTGAAACAGTTGCTGCGCGTCTCCTGGAGGGGGATGGTTACAGCTCATCCCAGGGGCTTTCAATGGAATTCAAGTCCGGACTGCAGGCCGGCCAGTCCATTAGGTTAATGCCAGCCAGCTGCATGAAGTTTTGGACAAGCAACGCTCTATGAGGTCCGCGTTGTCATCCTGGTACACCGCGTGTGGTCCCATCTGCTGCAGAGTAGGTAGTGCTAATGGACGGAGTATCTCATCTCGGTAACGTATTGCAGTGAGATTTCCTTGCACATGGTACAGAGGTGTTCAGTGGTTCAAACTGAAAGCACCCCATACCATCATGGAAAGGCATCGCTTCTCTGACGGCTCCATCGAGGAGCCGCTCTCTGGGTCGACTCCAAACCCTAATACGGCCGTCATTGTGATGCAAAGAGAACCGGGACTCGTCGCTGAAGAGAACGTTTGCCCACTGTTGACGTGTCCATCTTACATGGCGTTGGCAAAAGGCAAGACGAGCAGCCTTGTGTGCTAGGGTGAGACGCTGACGGACTGCAGGTCCACGTGCATTAAGTCCAAACTCATGAAGACGTCTTCGTACTATCTGAAAACTAACGTTAACACAAGTTGCCGCTCTCAGCCGTGTCTGTCTGGGTGCGATTTGCAGGAGCGGATCTCGACTGCAGAGCCTGTCTATGAATTAATCCGTCTTCCCTTGTATTAGTGGTTCTTGGTTGACCTGACCTGGGTCGCTCTTGGGCACTACCAGTGGTGTTGGCACGCTGAATCAGCCGTGAAATGACAGAAACAGACACTCGAGGACGTGTAGCAACTTGTCGGAGTGAAACACCATCTTGTACCTAAGCAATGGCTCGTCCTCTGTTTACATCAGACAATTTCTGTCGAGGAGGCATGTTTATGCTTAGCCCTACAGCAGCAGAATGGTGTATCCAAAGTGCAAATGAGCGAGTGCAAGTCACTCACAAGACATGAATCTTGCATTTGAAAACTGATTTTTGAGCGTTCAAAATTTTTCCTGACGGTTAGGGCGAGAGAATAAAAATCGATAATTGGAAAACATTGGACCTTTTTGCCCCCTCCCCAGCTCATCGCACAGGAGTCACGTGCACTTCAAACCCTGGAGTGTAAAAGCCCATTAGTCATAGAGTAACATTTCACCAATATCTAGTTTTACTAGGAAAAGTAAAACCTCGAAAGAATGCATGCAAATATATCACTGTTTTTACAGTACGTTCCTTAACTTTTGTTGACTAGTTAGATATAGATAAATATATCTATCTATCTATCTATCTATATATATATCTATATATATATATGGTGGTCTAAAATCGATAAGAGTAGGCTTCGGCCGCCACCCGGGCAAAATTCAAAATTTCCTACCAACTGAATATATTAGGTGTGTTCCGCGCGCTCATATGACCTTATGCAGTTGCGAGCGCCGTAAAACGCTTTACAAAAACAAACGAAAACAAGTATTCATACGACCTTAGAGCATGCATCAGAATAACATTGAGTATATCTAGCTTAAGATTATTATTGTTTATATTGCTGCTCATTTATATTATGCATGTGATTGTAAGCCTGCGTGTGTGTGCATATTTGTGTGTGTGTGTATGTGTGTGTACGTGTGTGTGTGTGTACGTGGTTAAACACCAAACAAATGTGCCAGGATCTGGACAATAAAGATCTATCTTGTCTTATCTTATCTTATCTTATCTTATTTTGTCTTATACATGTATTGTATATCTTATCTAGAAGATGTAACCAGGTGGGTGGTTGGCGGGTGCTCTGGTGTGGTTTGCTTCTTCTTTCCTATGAAACATCTATCGTCCTTATCTCCCCTTGTGGGTGTTTGGCGGGTGCTCTGGTGTGGTTTGCTTCTTCTTTCCTATCAAACATCTATCGTCCTTATCTCCCCTTCTTCTATTTTTATGTTTGTTACTCTCTTGTAACACCTCTAATCTTCTGGCGCTCATACTCATACATGTATGACCTTATGCAGTTGCGAGCGCCGTAAAACCTTTACTTAAAAAAATATATTCTCCCCTTCTTCTTTTTTTATGTTTGTTAGTATATGTTACTCTCTTGTAACAGCTCTAATCTTTTGGCGCTTATATGACCTTATGCAGTTGCGAGCGCCGTGAAACATTAACATTTTTTTCTCTAAAATGTTCTCTTTTCACCTTCTTTCCTTTTTTCTAGACATGTTCTGTCGTCTGCTTTCATCTTCACTTTCTTCCTCTTACTCTAACCCGGCCCAGTGGGTGGTTGGCGGGTGCTCTGGTGTGGTTTGCTTCTTCTTTCCTATCAATCATCTATCGTCCTTCTCCCCTTCTTCTTTTTTATGTTTGTTACTCTCGTGTAACACCTCTAATCTTCTGGCGCTCATATGACCTTAACCTCTTCACTGCTGAGTAGACGTATGTTCTGGCTTGTTTTCTCCACTTATATTGTTTTATCGGGTTGACAAAAAGAAGTTTTATTTGGTATAGTTACAGCTTGCGATTTTGCTTATTCTGAAACAATTCTCTGTGTTTAAATATTCCTTGAATTAACATTTTATCTTGTCAGTAGCCTACAGATGTTGGTGGGCATTTTTTTCAGCAGTGAAGAGGTTAATATGTCTGTCCCCATAGAATTATGCAAATTTAGAAGGCCAAATTATGCTTAAAAAAAAAGCAGAATTATGCAAAAATTATGCAAGTTACCGAACACCATTCGCGACATGTTTTGCACTTTTTCAACTCGAAGTTTCATGATTTTCATGTTTTATGTACAGAAAAATTAAAAACAGAACATATCAGTATCAGTAATTTGTTGTGTACAGTGGAGTTTCACTTATAACGAGTCCGGAAATAACTAGAAGTCTGTTATAAAGACACTATTCTGAAGCCCCGATTTTTATCTTCTTTATCGTTGTAATTAAAATACTGCTATAGCGCAGTCAAACAAACACGCGAGTCGGTTATAGCGGAATATTCCTGCTGCTGTGCACAGCGTATAGGCCAATTATAATATGTAAATCTTCGCCAGTTGAGAGACTTGTTGGTGATCTAGCGAAACAAAGAATGGGAGAGCCCATGTGTGTCAACAATGAAGGCCGCAGCGACTGAGTAGGGAGGGTGTGTCATGCGCAGACAAGCAGAACGCATCGTGTGATAGGCCAGCGTAAGCCTAGTTTAGATAATCAAGGCCTACCATGCCTCTCACTTCTCCGATGCGGGAATGGAGAGGTCACAGCAATGTGATGGGTTGAGCAAATGTGTGACGTGCGCAAGCTGACGGAAAGCACCACAGGGTGTGGTGGGGTGGGGGAAAATCAATGGGCGAGAGCCCAGAGCCTAGACGATCAGAGAATAGTTTTGCCCAGAGCCCTTTCTTTCTGATCGCCAACACCGAGATGCCAGTCGACATCGCTAGATTTAGCACAAGAGAAAGAAACCTGATTCGATTTTTGATCGAGTAAGACCTAGAGGTCATGTTGAATCAAAATCATCATCTGGGGAGATAGCAAAAGGAAATAAACAGAACACCAAACTCATAGATTAGGCCTACTTTACAGTTTCCCTTGAATTTATTACTGGATCCCTTATAGTATAGCGAGAATCCTGCTATAACGGACATTTTGCTCCGGTCCCCTCCCTCTCGTTATAACAGGATTCCACTGACATGAACAGAAAGTGAATCACCACAAATTTCCTTAAGCTTCTCGGTGATCCCATCTTAGCTGTTTTTATGATCCCATCCGGGTTTTTGAACACTTAGTGATGAGCGCAGATTCGTCCGTCATTTTGCTACGATCTGGTACAATATTAGGGTCAGCGGCATCTTTGATGACGTTCTTGGCGTCCGCTATGGTTTCCGGCAACTTCCTGTTCCTGGTCTCAGGTAGGATGAGGGTGAGCAGAGCCCCGACTATGCCGGCGGCACCAAACACCAGCTGAGGAAGAACTTGGCCAAACTGCCCGTGGACGTAGGTGTTCTGTGGGGGGGAAAGTGGACAATGTTGTTGGTTTCTCTTGTCGTTGATGGCGGAAAGAGGTCTTCGTTGTCCTTACGCCTTACGCAGAAGAAAAGCTCTATAGCTCGTTTACTTTTATCTGACAGCGGTTAAAACGGGATAAAAACAAATCGCTCTATTTAATCTTCCTGGGTTTTTGCATGCGGGTCTAAAAGTTGAGCGAACAATAGAATCTAAAAACCAATTCATTAAAAAGTCATTGCAAACTAAGGTTTCGCTTCGTTTTATCTAATGTAAGCCTAATGCGGGTCCGTTGAGCTGGCATTTGCTTACGTTTTCCATTTTGTTGAATTTGTAGGCCCACTCTCTAGGCTGAATTCATTTGACGATTTTGATAGTTTATCTTTCATTGCTGCATTTGAGCTCTCTATTTTGATATTTGATCGGGAAAAGGTGTAGCCTACACATTGTAATCATCGGAAAGCTTTTCAAACATAGAAAAAATTAGCCATAAAAGAAACTGCATGAAGGCAACCTAGAGACCATTTTAATAAGCTAAATTGACTGTCTGCTTCAAAGAGGTTATGGAGTGGGTGGTTGGCAGGTGCTCTGGTGTGGTTTGCTTCTTCTTTCTTATCAAACATCTCTCGTCCTTATCTCCCCTTCTTCTTTTTTATGTGTGTTACTCTCTACTCTCTTGTAACACCTCTAATCTTCAGGCGCTCAAATTACCGTATGCAGTTGCAAGCGCCGTAAAACCTCTACTAAAACTAAAGAGGTTTGCACAGACAAAGAGAGCCGTACATATCGTCGCCTCAGAAGTTTTTGTCCAAAGTGACTTATTCCCCCCTACTGACTCAAGTGTCTTTAGGCCATTCCCAAAGGGGAGACATTTCTCGTACAAGCACAGTAGAATTGTTAATGGGCTGATTCATGTCTTGCTCATAACTGTGCCTGATCTGCAGCAGGGAACTGCTGTCTTTTCTTTCTTAATCCTTACTATTGTAATTTTCCTCTACTTCTTTTGTATGTTTTTCACTCCCTTATGACCTGCTATTTCCGGGGTGCCTTGATAGTTGAAGCAGACATTGCGCTGTTGAAGCTAGAGAGGTGAGCAGAATAAGTCTGATTCCCTGTAAAGACGTATCTGTTGACACCCACCCCTTGGCGTTCATATGACCTTATACAGTAAAACCCTGTACTATATTTTTAAAAGTGACTAAAGTACACTTTGGACAAAAGCTTAATAAGAAGTTAATAGTTCTGAGGCGAAGATATATGTTAACCCACTTACCAGGTCAGCCACATAAGCGGAGGAAATCCCACCAATTCGAGCCACCATAGAGCAAGAGCCGAGACCAAAGGCCCGGCACTTGGTAGGAAACAACTCCGCCGTGTACGTGTACATGAGGATAGAGGCACTGGATATGGCCATCTTGCCGAGGAGAGACAGCGCCACCACGATCCAGCCTATGGCACAGAACAGGAGAAGTGTAAACGTCATTGGGCTGACGGGCTTTCCACGTTATAATAATAGCAATAATAATAATAATAATATTTAAGAGAGAGAGGGAGAGAGAGAGAGAGAGAGAGAGAGAAAGAATGTATGTGTGTGTGAGTGTGTGTGTGAGTGTTTGTGTGTATGAGTGTGTGTGTGTGTGTGAGAGAAAGAGAGAGAGAGAGAGAGAGTGCGCTCGTGTGCGTGTGTTTTTTGTGTGGGTGTATGTTTTCGAGTATGTGTGTGTGTGTGTGTGTGTGTGTGTGTGTGTGTGTGCGTGCGTGTGTGTGTGTTTTGTGTGCTTTTGAAAATCGCAAGTTTCTATCGTTTTTAAAAATCGTTTTGCAGTCTACGACGATGAAGCAAAATATTATGCTCAGGCCAATATATTATTATGTAGGTCAAACCATCACTACCCTTAGGGATAAACTCCACAACCACAGGTCATCTGTACACAATCACTCTTGCCCCCGGTCGGCCAACATTTTAATGTGGAATCTGGGCTCACATCCAACCCTCTCCTTCCGTAATATTGGTGAGCCATATTTAAAAGAACTTAAATTGACGACTTAACCACTCAAGTCGCATTCCAACTCCTCCCCCCTTACCCACTCCCTCCCTCCCAACAAATACAAACGCCACCCCTTCCTTTGTATCCCTACAATAATAATAACAACAGATAGCTTTTGTATAGCGTAAATTTCCTCCCAACCCCAGCAGACCTGAGAGCACTCTAAAACAATCTCAACGTCATGGGAAGCATACAGTGCAAGCTGCCATTTAAAGGCGTTAAAACACGAACTTTTTGACAAGATCTTTCAGTTTTTGTGGCTTAGTACCCATTCGCAACTGAATGAAGTGAGGGAAATTCGTGTAAAGTACAGTACAGTAAAGTAATGTACCTTTCACGAGGACACAAGGCCGGACCTGCGGCTGGAATCGGCGAACTCGCAACCTCACGGTTACGAGTCCGGTAGCCTTACCACTAGACCACTGACTTCACACCCAACCTCACGGTTACGAGTCCCGTAGCCTTACCACCAGACCACTGACTTCACCCATAACGTCATGGTTACGAGTCCGGTAGCCTTACCACTAAACTACCGACACCACTATTAGCCCGGCTTGACTCTGACAGTAGGTAAGGTCGGAATTTCGCCTTTTAAACACTATTTAACATTTTGAATTGTGTAAATTGGGGTGTAAAACACCTACACGAATAAAGAAAAAAAACTACAACAACCAGAAGACAACTCCCCCCCCCCCCCCCCCCACGAAAAGGGCTCCAGAATGG